ATATACCTTTTAAAATACATAAAGTACTCAAAACGCATTATTGCTTGCATGTAGCACTAGTTCCCACGCAGGATCCTCTAACTGTGAACTTATTTTATTCCTCCACTGACCTATGCATCTGACGGACCTACCAAGACTTCTTTATGTCCTTGCATAGACTTTGCCAGCAAAAGTTTGTTATCTAAATAGAAATCCGGATAGGCAGTTCAATTGTGTGCAAATGTGGAACCCTCCCCCAATGGTGTGGCTTAGCACCATCCCATTGAGAACTTCCTTCTATGTATTAACTGCAATTTAGGGGCCGGATTGATCTTGATGCATTCTTTCATATACACAGAAATGTTCAGCCGAGCAAATTACAGCACACAGGCAGCAGACATCTCAGCGAGCAGAAATCATCAGCAAGCCCAACCGTGTGGGTTCGGAGTTAATTGTAAAGTATGAGGCAAACGATGCTCAGTCGACCGAGCCTGGGTGAAGGCATTCTGTTTCTGCTTTTGATTGTTATCTGCCAAACAAAAACAATGTTACTGAACACATAAAGTTCGCGAAAATATCGTAACAGACCAGAAGGCTGCTGTTAAAAGTGCGGCCTCAATATGTTTGGTATGCCTTATCAGCCCACGACATCCCTCAAAATCAAAACCCTCCGTGAGCCGTATGCAAATAAACCAAAAATTGCCCTGAAAGCCCACATGAATCAAGCCACACCTGTATTTCCGAACAAACTACATGCCTACTCAACGTTATTTATATGTATACGTAAATAAAACTCACACTAACCACTCCTACCAATGATACTACATCCCTATTATGTCAAAGCCTCTATTTTTGGCGCATTATGATAGATCCAACCACATCAGCCCGTTTAAGAAAGGCTTTGAAATTGCTGGAAGAGGGAAATCGGTGGTAGCGACTGCACTTTTATCTCCCTCTTTCACTCTCGAAGTCAACGAGTCATCGGTTGCTGTGATAGGAAGCAAGTGGCTGATGAAGTTCA